TTTTCGTGCCGATCACACTTTCTGCCTTGCGCGCGTGCGATCCCAAAGCCAAAGCCCTTGACTCGCCTCGTCAGGTTTCCTCTGGTGGGGAGTCGTTGCTTGTTCCAGGTCTTCGTCCTTAAAGTCCTTCCCTTTGAATAAACCCCAAGTGCATAAATCAGTGTTCACGGATCCCTCGTTTGCGAATCTTTTCAATGCCCGAATCGCGTTTAGTGTGCGAATCCGTGGTGCACGCATCCTATGTGCCACAGAGAAATCGTCCCTGCGCAAATCTGCCCGCGCAGTGCTCGAATCCTCGGAGCGCAAACCCATGGCCCCAGCATGCGCATGCTTCAGTGTGCGAATGCAACTTATCGAGACATGTGATATCGCTCGCCGTGCTGAGTGCATAGAGTCAAAACTTCGTGAGAGGCTCCTTGCTTGCCAGTCACATCAGAACGGTTTTAGCCTCGCGAACAAGTCCCAAGTTTAGAGCAGTATTCCCAGGACTGAGGAAAGGCATCAGGCTCTGTCAGGCTCCTCTTCGCCCCTGAGATTGTAGCAGGAGTCGTTGAAACTTCGCAGTGCTGAATAGGTTTGCCACCTCGAGTCGTGTGGTTGCTGCAGAAACTCATCTCTTCCTTCAGCATCGTGCGGCAATCGGAGCAGCTGTCTGTTGTTGGATGTAATTTCGCAGGCGATTCGTGTTAGTTCTACTGACGACCCTCGCAGTTGCGGTAAGCACTCATTGCATGTCCGAGTCCTTGTAGTCGTCCGCGGCCACACGAAACACTGCGCAGATCACGTCAATCCGTCTTAAAGACTTTAGAGACCTGCGCAGTGCATTTGTCCGGATCTTCAGGCTACAGTACCTCCGCTTTGCCCAACGTGCAGGGGCTTTGGGATGCTCTGGAGCTGGGGGCCAAAGCATTGCAGACTTTTTGAATTTGGCCTGATTTCGTTTTGATGTCAGCACTACATTTTCCCCTCGGCCTTTGGCAGCTGGTCATGTGTGCTGTACCTCTCTAATCTCGGCACGTCTCGGCTCTGTTTTTGAGGTGCCAAGTGTGTCCGAAGTCCACTGGCGGGCTCTGCGGGCGCTACCGGACACCTGTCTCGAAGATCCTGTTCGCAATTGCTACGTTTGCTCTGGTGGCAGTGTGGAGCTATAGTTTCGGCAAGCAGCTACTGCTACCCCCGCCAAGTCCTAGCAAGCCGCCCTCACTGACTTGATTACACAGTTTTGGAATCACGTGGTCCGAGCTGAGGATCTCTAGAGATTTTGCTTGAGGGGCGACCGGATCTGATGTCGTTCGTGTCGACGTGCTCATAGTTCCTAGGTTGTGAAAGCTCTTCCCTCTTCGACAAGCCTGGCATGCCTAGCTTGATGATGTCAAAACCAAATGTTGGCCGGCGCATCAGGCAGGTAGGTGAGCCGCTGAGCTTGCAGGAACAAGCGCTGTACCGCGAGAAGTCCCAACAAGTCATGCAGAGCCAGGGTCCGAGTTCCCTATAGCACATGTGCTCGGCAATCGGGTCTCGGGCCAATATCGGAGGTCAAGCATGAGGACCTGTGCTGACAAAACGTGGAGTTTCACCTGCTGAAGGGCGCGCCAACGGCAGACAAAACGAGTCTCACAGTGCAGTCTGAAGTCCAGCACAGTTGTATTCAACGTGAACATCGACAATTCTGTCTTGGGCAGGCGCCTGATGCTGAAGCCAGTGGAAGCCCGAAGGAGTCGCAAGAGACCGACGCGGCTCCCAAGACTTTCTTGGAGGATGCAAAGGCTCCGACCGAGGTCGAGGTCGTGGCGGCGTCCGAGGCGAAACCGCCAGAGCAGCCCGACGAAGCCGCGGCCCTGGCGGCTGGCGAGGCTACGGCGGCTACGGCGGCTACGGGGCCGAGCGAGAGCTCAGCGCCCGACGCATCGCCAGCTCAGGCGAGCGCTGCAGCGAGTGCTGAAGCCAGCGTTGAAGCGAGCGCAGACGCTGACACGACGGGCTCCAAAGCCGAAGCCGAGAAGAGCCCCTCAGTGCAACCTGGACACGAGTCGAAGGATGGAACGCTCCTGGCCGAGCACGAACACGAGCATGAAGAGACGGATGGCGAGGAACACGAGTTCGGAGAGACCGCCCATCTCGTGGAGCTGGAGGCTGAAGAGGACCCTGAGTTCGAGCAGGAGGAGCCGGAGCCGAGAGCTCTGAGCACCTCCTCCCCAACGACCTAATGCCCTTAGTGCACCGTTTCCCGTTTGTTGAGGACGTTGATGAAGAAGATGCAGAGGAGGAAGAGGAAGAAGTGTACAAGGAGGAGGCATTCGGGAAGTCGGTCAGCATGCATCGCATCATGCACGTGTCAATCCAGCATTGGACGTGGAGGAGATTGGCCCGCCGATCAACATCTACAAGCCCGTGACACCTTACGAGGCATGCATCGCTTCAGTTAGAGAGCCAACCTTTAGTAAGCCGCTCCGAACAAGTCTACATTAGCAAGTGGCTGCAGATTCGGCATCGACTGCCTTCGATGAACATTGAGCATTTCTGTCACACTGATGGGTGCCGCTGACGGGCCCAAGATTTTACTGAGGTCAATTGGGAAATCACGGAAGTTCCGGCCGAGGGATCTGCAGGCACCGGTTTTGTTTGCACATCTGCTCGGGGCTGCCTGGAGCTGCGCTGCGAGGTGGAACCCAAGGGTCGAAGAAGGTCGGAAAAGTCGTGAAGGCGAAGGCGGGTTGTCTCTCGTCTCCAACCACTTGCCTGTAATTACATCCTAAATCCTGCAATTATTTGCTCAAATGCCCCGGTGAACCCTTTACAGGCAGCGGGATCTAAAGCGAGCATTTGTGCGTTGGCTCGTTTTCGGGTCGTCGTTGTCAGGTGACGAAAGGACGTTGCCAATGGCGCAATCCTGTTGGGTCCGGAGCTCTGTGAACTCCGAACTCCGATTCCACCGGGATCCGTCGGGCTGGCTGGGCTCTGTGGGACTGTCACGGCTTTCGCGACTTGGATCCCAGGTTCATGTGCTCGACGGACACGTCGGAGGCTGCCGAGCATGAGCCGTGGCCAAATGACATGTATGCTGCAGGTGCCTCAGTGCCAGTTCCTAGACCGTGCGGGGGCTGTGTGTACACGGGGCATGCGCTTGTCAGGTCTCCAGCACTCTGCAGCTTGAAACATGCCTGAGGTCTATACGTCGACCCAGGGAGGAGACAGCAAGGCGAGGCAGCACAAAACTTCCGCTGAAACTTGTCAAAGGGCACTCTCAGAGAGATCTCGTCACCTCAACCCGGCATCATCAAGATCCCCCGTCGGTTGTGGAGTTGTTGGAGTTCGTTCGAAAGTGCGGTTTCATTGGGTGGAGGCGGGCAGACTCAGAAGCTTTATATACATGGCAGACTTCGATGCGTTGAGGAGATAGACTGAGATAGAGCAGTAGTCACAGATGCCGGATGCATCCCCGACACCTGATCCTGGACAATATCGAGCTACTGACACAACTTCGAGACATGTTAAACCGACGCTTGAGATATCCTGTTATTTTCGACCACCTTCTGGTTTTACGAATTCTGCTTGTCAGATCGGGTCACTTCTCATGCGGACATTGCCACCAGAACAGTCGAACGAAGCACTTCGATTTTGCTGGCTTGCATGACAGGACGATCATGCGCCTGTGCGTACTTGCTCAATCACCTTAACGCATCTTCGATTTTGCAGTGTTTGGGGGTTCCTTTGAACGGAGCGCCGCAAGCCAAGACGCGAGAACGAGCGAAGCCTCGTTGAGATTTGGGAGCACGAGCAGCTGTCAGTGAGGTAAGAGAAAAGCATCCAAGAATGATGCGAGACGGTGGCTGTGTTGCTGTATCAAATCGTTTGGGTCTCGCCCTGGTGCCGGAGAGTCGGGTTGTTGTCAGCCAGTCGTTTGTGGCGTGGTTGTGGGGAAAACTTGACGGGACTTCTCAGACTCGGACTCCACGTTTCCGGCATGGCGTGACTTCTAGATCTAGTCTCGCAGAGCCTGGGTTCGCCAGAAGGAGTTGGCAAGTCAACCGCGCTGCTTTCCGCTTCAACCTACAATTTGATGCCTGACCCCTTCATGCACCCTCGCCACTCCATGCTGCTCAACTACCCCATACTCCAAAGGCTGCCCGACCTTGGCAGCAGCTTGCCACCTGCATCCTCTCCCTCCCGTCGCAACTTGCGCCTGGAGGACATGTCCTGGGTCGAAGGCGTAACGCTGTTGAGTTCCGAGGGGCACAACATCATGGCACTCCTCTCAGGGTTTTGGGTGAGAGGTCACGGGTCGATGTTTGAGTGTGCGGGCATCTGCATTTTAAATGCCTGATGCTCTGAGGCCTTCATCTTGCTCATGGCCTTTCTCCGAGATCACCAGGAGCGGCCCCTCCAACTCTGCTCCTGCCGTGGTGTTAATTCCAGTCTGTCTTGCCGTCTTGGAGCAGTTGCATCAGCTAGTGACCCGAGTGCACATCCCTCGAAAGAGGCTTCCAAAGAATACCTGCACTTGCATCGGGAGCGACGGTCGCCCCTGTGCCCTTCAGAGTCAGCTGTGCAGTACAGGAGCTCTACGTGGATGTGGACCTGATGGACGGTCGCATCTACTCCATGAAGGGTCCTGGTGGGCTGGAGTGTCTTGGCATGCCTTAGCCGGGTGAAAGCTGCCGTGGCAGAGCGCGATAAACGTCAATCCTTTGCTAACATTTTCACACGACATCCTCTGGGTTGAGGTCTCCCGAGTTTTTGTCCCCGGGGAGGTGACGATACGAGGTGCGGCGCGGCAGGTAAAGTGCTTCTTTGGCGCCGGGCCGAGTCTTCCACCAGGCGGGTTGTGGGTGGCCGGGTGGCCGTGGAGGGTGCCGGGGGCGCGGGGGGGGGAGCTTGCAAAAGACCAGGTTGGCGTAATTGGAGGGTGGTGTTTGCTCGCCACAGAGCGGTGGCGTGGGCGGTCTGGGAGTGGTCGTGGTGGTTGTCAAGGAGGTTATGGGGAGGTCGGGAACGGGGTGCGGGACGTGGTTGCCCAAAGACGCGGATGGTTGCCAGCTCGATGACGAGACCCTGCTCTTGCGAAAGACTTTGGGTTTTTTGGGTTGACGGCGCAGCCGGCATGCAAGGACACAGAGAAGTAGCAACGCTTTCGCCTTCTTTCTCGCCTCCGCTTCACGATGGCTCTCGTTTGCTCCGAGGCTGACGCCTGCAGAAGATCAAGTTCTTCTGTGCGAGGCATCGTAGCTGTCCTAAGCGGAATGCATGACCTCTGTCGCATTATGTGTGTATGATTCACCCACTCCCGCTGTGCCAGGATATAGAGGTCATCAATGATGTGCGGAAGGCTTTGTCAGAGGCTGGACAATGCCTTCCCGGAGTGCAGACTCTTGTAAGTAGGTGCCGTCTTTTCACTCTGAAGCTTGTCAGCGCCAGCATTGCACGGAGCAAAGATTGGCAAAGCAAGACAGTCCGCGGGCAACAGGCTTTCTACAGCAAAGCTCCGCCCAAGATTACCACCGTGGAAGGGGAGGACTTGCATCGACAGATGTACGAATGTGTATAGCATTGCCGTCGGTTCGGCACCACCTGTTCGCAATTCGTATAAGCTCGTAATGACTGCGCGGCACAAGTCAGCCAGGTGGCAAGAAGTAGTTAAAGTCACAATGATGAAGTAGTTAATGTTGAGAGTATGACGAAGTACGAGGGGATCTTTTCCTGAAGGGCTGGGAGGAGGGTTGCGTGAGCATGATGTTTGGGAAGCGCTGCCCGCGAGGATGGGATCGACTTCTCCGGGACACGAGGAGCTCCACCCACGAAATGCATTTTCTGTCCATTGAGATTGGCTCCAATGACGGTGCGGAGGCAGACGGGACGATGAGCCTGTACCACAGGTGGCTGCCGAGTAGCGGCCTGAATATGCAATGGTGTGGTGACTACTTTTCTTTGGTGCTTGCCCTGTCTCCTTGGCCCCGTTTCGACGAGTCGAGGGCAACACATGTTTGTGCTACCGAGATGGCTGTGTGGTTTGATCCTCCCTTGTGCTTTAGTGTCAGACAGTGACATGACCACACCCCAAGCTTTCTGAGCTGTAGACTTAGACTCTTAGACTCTAGATTTTGTAGTCTGTTGAGCAAGGCCTCGAGTTTCAGAAGCATTGGCCGGAGCCTTACACTCGCGCACGAACCCTGCAGTAGAGAGACACTGTACAAGTATCTACAGTCTAAGCTTGTGTAGCATGGAGGCGGATTTGTGCAAGTCAGTGCAACCCTTATCGAAGCTCGCGTCAACTGCCCACCGGATGCACAAGACATCAGGACCGTCTTTTTGAAGTGCTGCGCGAGTGCTCCACACGCATGGAGAGCATCGACGAGGCGGCTTCATGTGGCTTCGCCATGCTTTGCCATTGGCCACAAGATGCCACAAGTTTGCCGGTGCACTCGAGCACTTGCATGGTCATCGGGACGTGTGGCCTCAGTGGAAGCTTGTGCCATCGCACTCGAGATTCGGATCAATGGGGAAGCTGTTCCATCAGGAGACCTGGGACAAGCGCATCCGCCTGTCCAAGCCGACTCGACAGATCATTCCGTTGCACCAACAAAGTAGCAGGAAGGCCAAGGCAGTTTTGCACTTTAAGGATAGTTGATCGGGAATTTCGGGGTAGCGCAGCTTGCCACTTCAGCCAGCGCATCTCTCGGTCCAACCCGAATCAAGGGAGGAATGACGTCAACAATGCTCGGGAAGTCTGCGGCATTGTGAATCGTGCATAGGACCTTGACATGAGTGTTGCAAACACAAGCTCGAAGCCGCGCTGCAATTGAAACCTGCTTCAGGGAACGGAACTCAGTCGTGCATGCTGATATTCTTCAACATGTCTTTCCGCGTCTACATGCACTGTGGCAATTCACGACTACAGCAACGTCAGGATCTGTTCCTTTATTCCGTGTTAAGGTTGGCAGCAGGGAACTACGTGTGCTGAGCGAAGAGGAGTGAGCATTCGGAGCAGCACCGGCGCAGGCTGCCTCGTCAGACGCGCTCTTCACCCTCTTCGAGCCTTTGGCAGACCTAGCGCAGGCAGCGGACAGTATGAGAACCGGCATGCTCGCTAGGGAAGCGGGAAGCAGGTGGCGTGCCGGAGTCAACACTGACAGCACAGGGGCCACAGTGCCCCAGGAATAGAGTCGCCTCAAAGTCGTTCCGGCTAAGCAGCGCTCATTATTGCCGGCCCAATCGAGCTTAACGTCTTCGTCCGGTTTGTCCTGATTGCAGAGTGGGGAAGTCGTCGCGTTCGTTACGGCCGGGGACCGACAGTCTCGTGCAGGGAGCAGGGTGGGTCCCCCAAACCACGTTCCCGTCCAAAGAATGAAAGTCGGGGCTGTGCAGTGTGGCTACTCAAAGAGTCCGACCGTCTCTGCGATGTGTGGAAGCCTTCTTGAAGATGGATGCTGCATCGACTCCATGCTAGGCCCGGGCTGCTGCGGAGCGCCAGGAGCTGGAGGAGGCCTCAACGGTCTGCAGTAATTCTCTTCGGACCTTGCCTCGACTTCTCGGGGGAAGGCGTTCCGTCATGTTGATGTGGGTAGGGGCTGGGGCGCTTCCGAGCTCACAGGAAGAACAACAGGAACATCAAACACCGAAGCGAGCTCAAAGAGAAGATAAACCGAAGAACGAGAATACGAGTTGCGCTGAGAGTGTTCTATGCAACCTTGCAACTGGCTCAGACATGTCGTTGCCGTGCCACGGGCCACTCCTTTTAAAGCTGCTGAGCCGCTAGGCCGAGCGTCGGCGGAAGGCCGAGGAAGAGAAGCGGAGGAGCGAGGGCCTCAGTCACGAAGCTCGGGCAAGCCAAGCGCTTCGAGGGGGCCTGCGTTGTTCTCCGCTTCCTTTGTGCACTTGCGTGGAAGTCCCTGCGCAACGTCAAGGAAAAGAGATGGAGCGGCAGGCCAAAGAAGAGGCGAGAAGACAGAAACAGCAGGAGCAGCAAAGAGCCAGAGAAGAGGCGAAGCGAGCCAAGGGTAAAGGCCTGGCGGGCTTGGAAGAGCACGAGGGTGGTGGATCCTTCGAAGTTCTTCTTAGTGAAACCTTCCGTGCCTGCTCAATGTCGATGTTGAGGTAAGGGCAAGGATGAAGCCAAGGGAAAGGGCAAGAAAGACAGGAAGCAGCAGCAGAGCTCCTACGGCCAGCAATACCAGCAATACCAGCCGCAGCAGCCACAGCAGCAGCAGCAACAGCCGCAGAATTCCAAGAAAGGCCGCAGAGGCCCGGGCAAAGCCGCGGCTTGTTGGTGGAGACTTGCTCTGCATCTCACAAGGCGCTGCCCAGTCGAGCACCGCAGCATCGAGCAGTGATGCACAGGGGCTGCAGCAGGTGTGGACTCTTTCTTGATTAACACCTTTCAACGCTCACGTCTCTGACACATTGTCTTAATGGAGTTGGCTTTCGAGACTCTACAGTCTGCTGGTTTCATTCATGGACTCGGAGCACTGGGCAAAAATGTGCCGAGTCAGCATGGCACAGCCTGCGACACCCTTGTTTTGTGCGCTAGATTGCCCCGATCCGCTTGTGTTCAGCCCGTGCCGCGTGTGGGATCTTGTCAGGTCTACACAATGCCGGACTTGCCAGCAGATTGGGTTGCAGTGCCCGACCAGCAGCTCCTGCTGCACAAGTATCACACCTGAGAGTCCCCCACGCCATCTTTCTTTGAGGCTGAATGATTGTGGATTACTGAGCAAGGTGCATTGCGTTAAGCCAGTCTAGACGGTGATGCTCATGATGATCCTGGCGACGACGATGATGATGGTGATGATGATGACTGTGATATGATGGTGAATGCGATGGTGATGATGATGAGGGTGATGGGTGATGGTGATGTTGATGGTGACGATGATGATGGTCATGGTGACGATGACTACGAGCAGGATGACGGTAATGGCCATGTCATCGCGTCCGCCCAGCAGATCCGGCCACCGGATGGTGTTGTTGCTGTCCACGATGCCAGTGACCTGCAGCCGAGGACATCTGGAAGGCCGAGCAACTACGGACGGGGTTTGGGGAGCACTGCTTGTGAAAGCCAGATGCGATTTCTGGACTGAGGCCGTACTTCTGGAACCCGCAGACAGGTGAGGTGACCTGGACCAAACCAGGGCCTCCCATGATGATGCCACCCATGCCCACGATGTTCCAGCCTCCAATGTTTTTTCAGCAGTAGAAGCGTCTGCAAGAAGTGGACGCCGATAATGATCGAAGCCAGTTTCATGCCATGCTCCTGTGGCAGATGGCCTGCAACGTGATGGGGGCCTCTCACTAGTTCCAGACGAGCTCCATACTGCGACTTGAGATCTGTTGTATTAATGAGCCCTCGTCCTGGAGGCTATCTACGACTGAGCTTGTGCATAGGCATGTCTAGGAAAGGTTTCACTTGGAAGGAGTGCAGTGGTGATCGGGTTGGAATGCTTGAGTAGTCCCATGAAGGAATGGGTATTCTACGGCGTTTCGTTTGCTAACTGCCTGCAGCTTGCTCGGCCCTGAGCCGGTCTTTCTCAGTTCGAGCTGCAGAAAGTCAGAGGCTTGCGGCTAGGCCTGTAATATTCTTCTCAGCTCCATTGCGATCGGTTCAAAAAGCAGCAAGCACGCGATGGGAAGGGGGTGCGGAACGGCCTGGAACCGCCTGCATTGTGTAGCAGAGATGCATGCTGCTCGCCAACTGAAACAGCCGGAGCTCGATCGTCAGGCTGCATGAGTATTCTGATTCGTCGGCTTCTTGTTCATAAAGCATACCCATGATCACAGGAGACTTGTGTGGGTGAAGACGGCTGTAGAGGCAAAGAGAAGACACCTGTGCGGTCTACACATATATACATGCAAGCTCAGATCATGTGTATACCATTTTACTATACCGCATACCTGCAGGCTTAAGAAGTCGAAGACAGTAATAGATGTATAGACAGCTGGATCGATAGACAGATAAACAGGTAGATAGACAGTTAAATAGATAGATGAGTAGGTATGTAGATAGACAGATAGGTAGTGAGGAAGGTCAACAGATAGATAGGCATATAGATAGACAGACAGCTAGAAAGAAAGATAGGCATGTGCACATACATGTATGGCGTGTGAGAATCATGAAGATACATGCATTCATCGTTCTTCGGAATACGCATCGCCTTGTGGCACGCGTTGGAGAGATCAACTCTGGCCGCTGGCCTGCCAGCGCGGAGCTCTTGAGCCGTCGGCCAAGATGCTGTCTTGTCTTTTCAGTGTCGGGTCGCGCCGTCGCGCCGGTGCATTGAAGAGGTTTGCAGCTTCTCACGGGTCGCGCCAAGCTTCACGGGCCAAGGCTCCGGAGCTAGGCCAAGCGTGGCTCAGGCTCGCCTCGCCTCCTGTGCAAGGCAGGGCTGCAGGCCAGATTTGCACTTTCAGAGCCATTCTGCGCTTCACGTGGCGTTGCTTGTCTTGTGAGCTTGCATGGAAGCCAGGCTGGCGCTGCACCGGTTCAAGGCTGGGCAGGGCGGGCGGACGGCTTTTGCTTGAACACATGCAGAGGGAGAGGTTTTCATCCACACGTCGATCGAGAGCAGGCTTAAGCTTGCGTGCTCGGGCAAGCGGCGAGCAATGTTGACCGTGTTTTTGCCGAGCAATCGAGCTTTGCCGTCCTTTCTGTACCTGTATTTCGGCGCGCTTGCTTGCACTCCCAAGCAACAAGTGTGTGACAGGGTGTCGTTCTCCCCCGTCGGTGTTTAGGGCAGGCCGCTTTGGAAGCTTGAGGGCTTCCATCATTACCCAAAAGCTTCGGCAAGCCAATTTCCTGCATGAGCCGAAGACGTCTGCTGTAGATGACTGTAGTATATAACTGTACACCGGCATCAAGACTCGCCAACAAGTCTCCAAACATTCAAAACAATAAATAGTGCCAAAGCATTCAGCGAGACAAGTTCTGCACAGGATGCTGCAGGGGAATGCTGCTGTCAAGAAGTCAGGAATCGTCGTTGCAAGAGGGCTGGCCTGAGCAAATGAAGCAGCGCCATCGCAAAGTGGCATGCGTTTGCGTCCCCAGGCGCACGCCGCTGGCGTCACGGACATCAGTTGCATGAGCGCACCGTGACCCTTCAGCTGGGTGAAGCCAACCGCCAACCTGCTGAAGAGTGGACTGGAGTTTTTGCCTTCACATGCTTCGTTGTCCCTGGGGCTAGGCCCTAACCTGGAGGTACACCTGTGTGCCCATCTTGCCCCACTTCGGCGCCGAGGTAAGAAGTGGTCGCAGCTGAGAAGGAATCAACCGAAGCAGGGCTTCTGCCGAGGTTCGGGGCTTCTCTCTTGACGGTGATGAGCCGCTGCCGGCAGACCTCGTGCAGAGGAGTCGCAGAATCCGCCCTACTGGGGCATGCAGCATTGAGCTAGCTCTCCGTCGCTTCCATCGTCTCCACAGCTCATTCTGATTCTGTCTGGTGTCTTCTGGAAGGATCAAGGAAGACATGAAACTTCACCGAGTTTTGGTCTTCAAAGGCCAGGGCCGACTCAGTGGAGCAAGACAGGCCGGTCCGCCGGTCCGCCACGTGCCAAGAGACTCGCGGAGACTCTGCTGTCGTTTGCGCGCTGAACAGGTGCAGATTTCGCAGCAGCTGGGCACTGCTACTTAGCACTGATAAG